ACTTCTCCCGCTGTCACCCTGGCCTGTCCCCTCCTGGCCAGATACTGGCCATTGCTGCACCATGTTTTTTACAACATTCAACTTCAGCATTTTTACTATTATAATAAGAAACTGTCCCTCCAAATTCAATAAAAATTGCTTTTCAAGTTTGTGGTTTGCTTTCTGGTGCAAGGTGTGGGAGCCCTGTGTGGGTTGGAGGTGAAGGGTGTGGCGTGGGTCCCTTCAGGGAACTGGTCCCTGAGGCGCCAGCGACAGCCTTCAGGGGAGGATGTCTTCCTGGCAGGTCACTCCTGACAGAGAAGTGGGGGATATTGACTGTCTCTAGAGTCCACTATGGTGACCCTCCCTTAGCTATCCAACACACCTGCCAGCTCCAGCTGCTGCGTGTCTGGCAGAGCAACAAGCCAGACCCATACCAGGAAGGATAACATGCTGGGGGTTCAAAGAGCGCTCAGGAGGCCCTGGTTGAGGTCACAGCACATCTGTGACTGAACAGAACTGAGGACTGCTCTGGGTTTGGATGGAGGTGACAGGAGCCAAAGTCACTTAGGAGTGTCAGCAATCCTGAGTCCCAGCTGCCACCAAGATATACTGAGTGTGTTGCTGGTGACACCTGGTGGCTACTGGTGGAACTGCAGCCGTCAACAGCAACTGCTCAGCAAAACATTTTGAGGCCTCTAGAGCCAAAAGCTAGACTCCCTTGAAGGTCTGGACTACACATATACAGCGCCTAGTGGCTGGCGGCCTTGCTAGGGTGGTGCCTGACTCCTGCAAAGGTAGGGCAAGTGACGGTCTGGATCCCTGGAAGATAAGAATATCCACTTCTAGAACAGCCCAAGTTTTTCTCTGGGCGACCACAAGCCGTTCTGGAACCGTACATGGCATTGCCTGCTGTACTTTGAAGTAAGATTTGTAGACAAAAAAACACCAGATCTGGATGGTGGTACACACCTTAGTCCTAGCACTTGAGTTCAAGGCCAGCCAGGTCTGTGTGGTAAGAGTCAGGAAAGGAGGGAGAAAAGGAGGGAGAAAATAAGCACAGTAGTGTTTTCTGTGACCCTCAAACTTAGAGCTAAAAGTTACCTAAAGTAGGTGAAACATAGAAACAAACACAGCTAAGGCCAGGGCTGGGCCAGATGGAGGCTACAGGCTGTTCTTTCCATGACACCCCTCAAGGATGTTTCTCTAGTATAGAGGAAGGGGCCCTGAAGTTGTGTCCCCATCACAGAGGTGGGTAAGGCTCTTGGCAGTAGCTTCCTGAGCCCACTGTTACTCATGTAAGCTGCCCAACATAATCACTGTAGGCTGTTGGGAGCCAGGCATCTAAGGAGTGCTCTTGGGAAGTGGTACCCTCTCCCCAAAGGCAGGCCTGGCCTAGCCTGACCAACCAGAGCAGATGAGGGGATAGACCCTGAAGCCATGGTATGCTCTGGTAAGCGTAAATGAGGTAGCTCAAGTAGTCTAATTCACAAGGTAGACAGAATGGTGCTTGCCGGGGTGGGGACCAGTGGGAATGAGGTGTGGCCACTTAATGGCTATAGTTTCCATTTAGGGAAATGACCAGCTAAGGCCAAGAAAGAAAGTTTACTATTTATCTATGGGGACTGAGTTGAAACAAGACCTTTTGAGCTGTGTTCTGGGATATGGCTCAGTGCTTGTAGTGTGGCACTATTTTGGGGAGATGTGAGCAAACACCTACCGACCCCAGCTAGGGAACCAATGACAGCAGAGTACAGATGCCACCGAAGCCCAACCTAGAGAACCATGAGTTTTACAGAGGTGGCATACAAGAATATAGGTGAGGGGTTGTCTACAGGAACAGAAATGCATCGCCAAAGCATGGGTGACAGCTCACAAAAGCATACCCCCAAACAAACTACAGGCAGCTGAACAGGCTAGAGAGTGGTCCGAGCCTCTGAGGCAGCTCAGCTGATCGGAGAATGCCTGGGAGGACAGCCCTAGTGAATCTGGTCAGTTTCAGTGACTTCCTGAAGCTTACATGCTGAGCTTAAGGAGCTTCCCTGCAGGAGGAATGTTACCATGCCCCACCCCCAACATCCTGTGTTTTTTTTTTAATATTTATTTATTTATTTATTTATTTTCTTGATGAGTACACTGTAGCTGTCTTCAGACACACCAGAAGAGGGCATCCAATCTCATTATGGATGGTTGTGAGCCACCATGTGGTTGCTGGGATTTGAACTCAGGACCTCTGGAAGAGCAGTCAGTGCTCTTAACCGCTGAGCCATCTCTCCAGCCCAACATCCTGTGTCTTAAAGAGCTCTCCAAGACGGAAAACTGCTACATGACAATAATGGTGGCAATGGCTTTGTCAGGCATGGCTTTCACTGCAAGGGAGGGGTTGGGCAGTCTGCACTAGGAGAGGGGAGGCCTACCTATGGAATATGAAGACTGGTGAGAATCTTGTCCATCTCTTCTTTATTGGTAATTCAGACTGCTTCTTGTTCCCTCCCTTGTTCTCAACACGATGAATACCGTCAAGGATGCTCCGATCCAGTGCAGGCCCCACTGGCAATGTGCCGTGCTCTGACCCAGTGCAGGCCCCACTGGCAATGAGCCGTGCTCTGACCCAGTGTAGGCCCCACTGGCAATGTGCCGTGCTGACCCAATGCAGGTCCCACTGGCAATGTGCCGTGCTCTGACCCAGTGCAGGTCCCACTGGCAATGTGCCGTGCTCTGACCCAGTGCAGGCCCCACTGGC